CTTAATGCCCCCTCCGCTATGGCGGGGGCATAAAAAATAATTCACTTATTGGTTAAGAAATATGTTAAATGAATAAAAAGAAGTTTCAAAGGTAAGGAGGGGATCGTACCTTGTTTATTGTGAAAAAACAAGCCGTATAGTGGACTTTCCAATATCTTGCATTATATGTTTCAGTATAGATAAGATATTCTGGTTCAATTAGTTTTCCCATAGTTATGGACATTTGAACTTAGAAAGTTTGACCCTATCAAATATGCACCTTGTGATCGCAAATCCTCTGACATGGCTTCCTGGATACACATAAAATACAGTAGGTTGTTAGAACTTCGTGATGTGCCTAGAGGTAGAATATTCTGGTCCATTGAGTTTTCCCAGAGTTATACACATTTGGACAATAATTATGAGCTTATCCAGTATGCACCTTGATCTATCTTGACATCGTAACTCCATTGACAGGGTATTTTGGATACACATGAAAATTAGTAGATTTTTTCGATAGAATGACCCGGTCCATCGAGTTTTCCCAAAGTTATAACCCTGATTTTTTTTATATCCCTGTGTATCTTGTCATTGTCACTCCTCCGGTATGGTATGCTAGATACTCAATGTTCATGTCCATTGAGATCAACCTCTTCACCAGCAAGGACTGGTAGGAGAAACGGAGGTATGTTCACAGTTCTAGATTTTCTTGTGTGAAGGGGGAAACGAACGAAATGATAAGTTAAAGGAGGGAAGCGGGAGTTGAGGGGAGGGAAGCGGGAGTCGAGGAGGTAAGCGGGAGTCGAGGGGGAGGGAAGCGGGAGTCCATTCATGTCCAGTGTACAAAGTAGTACCGATATTGTCGACATCGCAAGGTAGGCAATGTCGACACAATATTGTACAACGTTGTCGATATCGTTTCATACTCTTGTCTACATCGTTGACTTTGACGATATCGCGAAGTAGACAATGTCGACACGATGTTGTACAACGTTGTCGATATCGTTTCATACTCTTGTCTACATCGTTGACATTGCCGATATCGCTAACACATTACTCGCGTTTACATTGTTGATTTTGAATACAACGATGTCGACATTGTGTTGTCCTACTTTGTCGATATCCTTTCATCATATTGTCTCTGCATGGTTGGCATTGCCGACATCGCGAAAAAGACAATGTCAAAACACAGTATTACAACGTAATCTATAATGTCAACATCGCAAAGATGTTGAGGAGGAGGAGGAGGATAGAGATTTGCAAGCATTAAAAAACTGTCCAAATAAGTTCTACTATTAAGAACATCGACACAGGCGTAATATAAATACATTATTTGAAATTAAAATTGATAAACTAAACACTTCTTTATTTAAAAAAAACGATGTAGGCGATGTCAACGATGTAGACAGGAAAGGGGGACGATGTAGACGATGTCGTCACGATGTTGTTAACATCGCTATATCGGCGATGTCAACGATGTAGACAGCAAGAAAAACGATGTAGACGATGTCGTCTCGATGTTGTCAACATCACGATGTCGGCGATAACAACGATGTAGACAGGAAAGGGGAACGATGTAGACGATGTCGTCACGATGTTGTCAACATCACGATGTCGACAATGTCAACGATGTAGACAGGAAAGGGGACAATGTAGACAGCAAGAAGAACGATGTCGGCGATATCAACGATGTAGACAACAAGTAAGACAACAAGTAAGACAATGTTGCGAGCAGGTATAAATCATGAACGAAGTTGACAATATCGGCGATATCGTCACTACATCGTGCACTGGACATACCTCATATATATAGGTCTAGATGTCTTTTGTTTTTTTTTTGTGTTGTTGGGTTGCTGTCTTATTTGGGAATTGCATAGATATATGAAGCAAACAAAAAAGCAACCCAACAACACAATTATATGTTTTTTGTTTGCTTGTTTGTGTATGACACAACACAAAAAACATATAATTGTCATAGGGGGAGGGAAGTGGGAGTCAGGGGGAGGTAAGCGGGAATTGAATACCCCCTGTCCACCCCCTCTTTATAAGGAGAAAACCACAGTTTTAGTGCATACCACATAATTTGAACATTAAGCAAGATGTAATCAATTTTAACTTTCTAACTGCAAACTTTTTAAGTCCGTCTGTATAAAAGAGTGAATTGATTTCTAATCAAATCTTGTTTCATAATTTATTTGGCATAAGGCCTAAATTACTTTGAACACAATACCACAAGGATGTTTTCTTGAATCAATCAACTCCATTTTGCAACAAGAATATTTAGGTATTTTTAATCTTTTATAAAAATTCCTGCTGGCTCTGTTCAAATTTCTACTTTGTTCTACTTTTTTGTTTGCGTCATATATCTATGCAATTCCCCAATAAGACAGCAACCCAACAACACAAAAAAAAAAAAAAAAGACATCTAGACCTATATCAATGTTCTTCAGCAATAAACAATTGTCTTAAAACATTGATATCCAATATAACACTATACTTTACCAGAAATAAAAAAACAAATAAGTATTTCATTTTCCTAAAATCACATTTAATGCAATACTTTTCATATTTTGTAATGCTGTGTCGTTATATTTACTTACCATTTTTTGTCAGAAGTAAATTATCTAACTGTCTGTCACCAACAGCTAGTAAATATGTCACCACACAGTAACCAGCTGTAATAAAGATAAAAATGTTAACTATATATATAACTACACCTTTTCATTTTCCAGATCATAACTACTCTTATGGAGTAATCATAGTTTACTATCTAGTTCTTTGCAATTACAAAGTTCATTAAGAATCACTATTACCCATACAAAACGTTAGCTCAATTACACTCCTCTAGAGAAAGCAATAACACTTTGCTCAATTTCAAACCTGTGCCTTGTTGAGACCGATTAAGATATATAGATTCCACCACTGCATCAAGTGTGTTGTGATATTTCTCCACTCGACACAGTCAAATTTCAATATTTAAAGCACGAGGTAGGTACAAATGTAATTCAGACCACAAGCATGGCAAGGCAAGGAAATACCACCTTAGCAGTTGTCATGCAAAAATGCTTTGAAAAATAACAAAAAGATGAAGATGCTAGGAAAATTTGATTCTTAAAAAGTATTAACGCGATTCTTCAATTTTCCCTGAAATCTCCCTGTTGAGGCTTCACTTCTCCCAGAAGTCTCCCTGTTGGGTCTTCACTTCTCCCTGTTTGGCTGCCAGGGAGAAGTCACTTCTCCCTATAATTCTGAAATGTGGTGACCCCATGATGATGTGTCGACTATATTGTATAAAATCCAATCAGCATGATAAATGCAAGTACATGTAGTTTAAATATATGTAAATGAATGTAAACAAAGTAATGCTGTAAAGCGGTTTATTTTTGCAGAGTTTAATCACGATTTATAGGAGCAAACGAGGTTTTATTTTCTTGTTTCTCTCTTTCTACTTCATATCGTATTCCTTCCTTATAGATCAAATTTACAGATGGGGGAGGGGGGGGGGGGGATATATTTCTTATGAAAAAGAATCTGTAACCTCGGGACCAATATCATACAGACCAATTTCATCCATGAGTATTTGTCTTTTTTAAGATCAAAGCTCTATCAATACATGAAATACACATGTACCGAAAAAAAACTTCAAATAAAGAGTGTCAACTGCTCATAATTAAAGCATACCACAACTTTTAATATAGTTGTCCTTCCATTGGAGCATGCTTCTTTAGAAAATTATGTATAGTCCCATCTGTTGCTAATAGTTCTGCTAAAGGAAGGCATTATTCAATCATCTGAACAAAACCTGTATAAGACAATAAACACTTATAATTGGTCAATGTGAAAATACACTCATTGTAGCGGAATTAATCTTATGGAAATTTTTGCATATGCAATCAGGATTTGGTTGAACATTTTGGAATATATCTGTGTTATAAATGACCACAGATTTTATCTAATTGTCATAGACAAAGTTCCATCTTCTCTTCTGACATCATTTTATCAATTGATTTTTCCTTGTCAGGAGCAAAACTGTTTATCCTTCTGAAGCTTATAAAATGACCCCCCTTCTGGTGTTGTTTTGTGTTGAAGAAATGAAGCTCTTTTTGCTCCTTTATAAGATTTTTAGAAGTAATTTAAGTATATCTGACCACTTTTTCAAAGGTATTACATCATTTCTGCAGTTAAACCCAATCTTCCCAATGTATGAACAGTAACAAAGTTTTATCTTCCTTGTTTAAAGAAAAAAAGATCATCAGAGTACTTGTTGGTCCTTGGTCATTATTTAATGGCATTTTTTAATTAATAAACTTGTTTTATATTACTAGATTAAGCAAATATATAACCCAAAATGGGTCAAAGTCTCAAATGGCTGGATTGTATTATTTGTGTGTAATCAATGTGAAATGATACAGGGTAGTTGCAATTACACAAAGGGGAAGCAGAATATGACATAAAATCCTCAAACAATTCCATAATAGCAGGTGCACAACTTTAATATGTGTGCAATGTTCCTTTGAAGTTTAATGGATCAGGGTTGAAAACTGAAGGAGTAGTTGATCCCACAAATTAGGTAATCACTTTTCCCTGCCCACCAACCCGTCCGCCTGCCCATCTACCCAACTTCACCATACTATAAACCGGTTTTTTCGACTCTGTCCAACCCAGCCAAAATTAATACTGCTGAATTACAGATAACCGCACAGCTTCAGTTTCCAAAAGTTTAAAAGTTTAAAAGTTTAATAAGAATGCACCTATTGTCATTCGAAGAATATCCCCGCTAGTAAATCAATGTATCGGAAACTGTGATGGAAATATTAGTTTTAATCTTGTCAAAAGTGTCTGGAATGTATGAACACAATTATCTAAGCATTGCATTTCCCATAACTCATAATGGGCCTTTTTCTTTTTGAAATTGATTTAAAAAGAACAAGTTATTATAAGTAATGTTAAGTGCAATCCAACAAAATGATTTTCAGCTAATTATAGAGTTTGAGTTATCTCCCTTTCAATGCAAATCATCTGATATGTTAAGCAGAGGGAAATTCCAATAATATTAGACAGCCATTTTCTTAAATTGAAAAGTGAAAGAAAATATAATGTAAAAGGTAATTTTGAAAAATTATAACAAAAACAAAACTTCTATAATATAAATATTATACATCAATATAGATTACTGTTTATTAAAATGTATAATATGATTCATGTATAACAAAACTAAAAGTGAAAGTTAAAATGCAGTAAAACTCTAACACTGAAATATAATCATTTTAACTTTTATTATTGATCTGTCAGTATAACCCCAAAACAAGAGGCTCAACTGAACTTTATCTCACATTTTACATATACAGTTAAATTACATTCAATGACAGTAGAATATATTGTCTAAAAGGAAATTCCATGACTATTCCTGCAAAGCTCTTTTAAGTTTAAGTACCGGTAGATAATATATATGTTCCGGAGTATTTGGACCATATGCGTATGGTCATGACCATATAGGTATATACTCATATGGTCCGACCATACATGTATGGCCCACATAATTCATACGATGGACATTGCATTATGTGTCATAAGTTAACAGTTTCTTATATGAAACTGTGACTTATTTAATTATTTAATCAAATGGTAATCATTGTAACATGAATAATGAAATAAAGTAAATTTTGCTCACAAGTTTAAATTATAGTAAAAGCGTTTTACATGGTCTTTACGAAACCCAATATGTAGAATTGCCGTGGGAATATACTAGTAACTGTAAGAAATATCTAAATGAACAGTTAAACAATAAATCAACTGTTTAACTCTCATTACATCCTCTCTTTTTCTCTATTTTTTGTGTTTAAATTTGTTTTTTTTTAGTAAATTAAAATGTCTTAAATATTTCAAATATTTTTTTAGTTATTTAATGTTTTAATGTTTTAATGTTTGAACTAATAAATAATGTGTTAGTCCCAGGTTCATGCTCCTTTATTCTTACGATTTTACAATCAGAGTAGTTTATACGTGGGCAGCACGTATAAACTACTGTTATTGTAAGGTAGTATGAGTAGGAGCAAGAACGCATCAATTAAATAAACTTAAGTAGATACTAGAATAAATTAAAAACAAATGATATATAAAAAAGTACATAGCTGAGAGGTTGACAGAGCAGATTGTTACCCCCAGAAAACATTGTCAAACCGAGGCGAAGCCAAGGTTAACAAAGTCTTTTGAGGGTTAACAATCTGCTCTATCCCCCTCACAACTATGTGTTATTTTATTCATTATACTGAATGTTCTGTTATTAGTGTCTATCAAATTTCAAATTCAAAGTAATAAACTATGACGTCTTCTACATAACAACCATTCGTATTTAATAAAGCTCACAATTGATCAAGCGTCTCTGTGCAGAGTAATAAAGTATTTTCCATGGGATAGAGCAAATTATCTCCCTCGAATCAACCAATCAAAATGTGGCATTTTGACATGAAGTATAATAAAATAATCTAAACACTGAAAAAAAAAGAAGAAAGTTCATTTCCCAAATGCCAGTGGTTTCACTTGTGGACAAAAGCAAGTCGACAGGATAAAGGTGCTTAAAATTGACTCTAGCAAAGGCAAGATATCAGATACACCAAGATTAAGACAACAGGAATTCAGTTGATATTATTTATTCGGAAAATACCTATATGATCTATATACTCATATGGTCCGGCCCATTGATAACCAAACAAGTATATACTCATATGGTCCGACCATACGCATATGATCGGACCATATAAGAAAACGCATATGGTCATGACCATACGCAAATGGTCCAAATACTCATATGGTCTGGAACATATATATAAATATACTTTTACATGTACACCTGCAATGTCTGCTACTTCATTACCAAGACATATAGAAGCATCTATATATTATTCTGACATAAAGTTTGAAAACTTCTTAATATGAAAATATAGAGAAAACATTGCAAAATTATTTAAGATGTTGTTCCTTCATACAATAAATTGAATGTAAACTGATCATACAAGAACTTCAATATATTTTAGACAAAAAGGGCAAAAAACTTGTTCACAGCAGCAGAGTATTTAAAATTGTTTTATTTATTAATGTCAGTGTCAAGGGCACCTCATTTTAGACTGGACCTTTTCCACTTTAAACAATGTATCATCTGATAACAGATCATAACTCTAATGAGTACCAAGGGCGCCTCATTTTAGACTGGACCTTTTCCACTTTACACAATGTATCATCTGATAACAGATCATAACTCTAATGATTGTCAAGGGCACCTCATTTTAGAATGGACCTTTTTCACTTTACACAATGTATCAACTGATAACCGGGATCATAGCTCTATAATTTGTAGGTGTTTTAGAACTGGACCTTAACAAAATATGAAACCAAAGTGATTCATGCATAAGAATAAAGCTTAAGGTGATCTAAATTTAGCCTGAAACTTTCTCAATAAACACAATTCCTCAACTGACAAAATTAATTTCTGTACAGCTGGTAGTTTTTAAGGCCTGGATAAGGTTGAGGTAATATTAAGTTAGTGTTGACCTCCAACATATAACACAATACCTCGTTCCTCTATAATTTGCATTGCTAATAGATATTTTTCTTAATACAAAACTTAAGCTTGACGGACAAACAAAATCAACAATGAACAGACAATCAATAATCACTTTATCCTCTACCCGACTTAAATGTTGGGTGAGGGGAGACTAACTTAACTAATATCAGTACTTGAGATACCCCACACTTATAAACTTGTTAACTGCTATTTTGAAATACTCTTAATATGAGGATGAAGTCCTCAATTGCAGTAAGAAAATCAATAAAAGAAAAATCAATATACAATGGACTAGTATGATCAAAATTGTTAACTTTCTTTTAAATTTGCACAGAAAAATTGTACTTATGCATTACCCTGTTGACGGAGGCAGCCATATTATAAAGCATACAATTTCCATTTCTTGCAAATTTGTATATCTGTTTAGCAAAAAGTATCATGAAAATTATACAGACTTCATCCTATTTCACAGATTACACCTGCCTCATATTAATGAACACAAGGATGAATTTAAATTTTCTTTTTTGATATCTGTGTATGGCCATCATCATATTCTTTGTATTTGGGATTAATCATTGAAATAAAAATACCTCTCTCAATTCATTATCAAAATTAGAGAATAATTTCAATTTCAAATGACAATAACTTTAACAGTTTTACAACCAACACAACTTTTAAAAATCTAAGGTGTACTAATATGATATGTTAGAATAGAATATGGAAACAGGGGAATGTATCAAAGAGCCAACAACCCAACCAAAGAGCAGAAGACAGCCCAAGGCCAGGTTCATAGCATACCTGGTCTAAGTTATTCCTATACAATATAATCTCTCACCAATTATAAAATATTAAAGCAAAAAATAGAAAAAAAACACAAAGACAAATATTAGCAAATTGACAATTGTGAATTTCTTGTCAAGGAGTACTTTATGATATTATCTGTAAACCAATGGATATGAGTATCCATATAAACCTCTTATGTCAATTTCTGGTGATTTAAAGGCATTTTACAAAAGGACTTTGCATCCATAACTCATGTTGTGTTTGGACATTATTGTATTGATGTAAGATAAGCTACAAATTGAAAAGTTAACAATGCATAGATTAAGGACATAAAATAAAATGAAATCTAAAATAGTAACGGTATAATTTAAGCTCATAAATTGACCAAGCTATTTGTAGTTCTGTTTTTCGAGGATTTTATATTGAAGTTGTATGTATTTTTAGAATCATGGACAGAGAAGACCGAAGACATTTCTTTGTTATTGGGTCTGTTATTCTTGAGGTCATTACTCCAGTGTTTAGAGATAAGCTGGAGAACAATTACACTAACCATGGGGTAGGATGCATTAAAGATTATTTAAACAGTCAGCCAGTGGTCCATACCCTGTTCCATTTAAGACACAGATACATGAGGTGCTGTAAAGACAATGGTAACTGTACAAGCAACCCAACTCTTCCAATCACTTACTGCCAATGGGACCTGTTGTATACAGAAAACCCAGGGCCAGGTCAACATTACTGTTACTGTAAATATACAGCTAAACCTGTCCAATTGGAGGATCTTGACATCACCCTTGCAGGCCTTATTCTTCTTAACTGCTGCACTCTGGCGCCAGCCGAACAACATGCAATAAAGATGCTACGGCAGTACAAGAATGATTACTTAAGCCACAACACAAAATGTGGCATAACAAAACATGAATATGATGCATTGTGGCCACATCTCACACGTTTTGTCCTACAACTTGATCCAAACAAACAAGATGAACTGGTCAGAATAAAGAATAGACCAATGGATGAACCACTTTGCACCAAATACTTCATTGATCTTTTGGATGTTCACAAACAGCTAGATCAGGTACTACCATGTTATTGAGAAATGAAGGAAAATATATAAATGGACTTGTTATATCACTTAGAAATAATTGCAAGTCAAATTTTGGTACGAAAAAGTTATAAAAAAAATAAGGTTTATAATTTATAATTTATAATTCTTTTATGCCAGATGTATGTTTAGTTTATATAAGATTCATCATGATTGGCTCTTGAATTAAAAAGTTGGAATTCAAATCAATTACAGAGATGAACAGCATTGAGGGTGAGTTAATAAAAACAACTGTTATACAAATAGGATGATTAGCTAGCTATAAAACCAGATTAGACCTACCATTTTCTTTGGAAAATGCGTGCACCAAGTCATGACTGTGGTTTTTCATTTGTTTTGATGGTTAATGGAGTCCAACGTTTGATTTTGTCAGTTCTTATGGACTTCCCCCTTTTTGAATTTGTCTTGGAATTTTTATTATACTTTTCTAATGTTTACTTTCTTTGAGGGAACATTTAAATACATTTGGTACATAAGCATGATAAGTGATAACACAATACCTTAAATTTTGTCAGATTTCAACATAAGTGAGTTCAACACATCAAGGTTCATCTGTATTACTGAGATTAATAGGAATTGTTATTTAGAAAATAAGACTCCAATTACATGTACTTTAAAAAGAGATAAAAAATATTTTGATATAACATCCATCTGAATAGCTACACAATCTGATATGTTTTAATTCAGGTTAAAGGTTAAATTACCATAAATTTGCACTGAATCATTTTTCACTTCTTTTTCATTATGAAATGTCTTATAAATACTTCTTTTTATTAGATTAGACTAACAGTTCAAGAGCTGAATTCTACATTTCAAGCATTAAGCACAACAGTTCATGGACTTGATATTTCATTACAAGGAATAGGATGGAATATGCATGGATCATTCCAGGGAGTGAACACAAGTTTACAAGTAATACAGACATCAATGAATGTAAGTTTTTATGTGTAACTGACTCAAATAATTCTTTTACCTGACAATAAACTTGTTTTAATCTTTTCTACCATTTCAAAAAATAGATCAAAGACTCAAATGGCTGGGTTGAACAGAATGTTTCATAAACAATAGAGAATGCTCTATACTGAACCTTTAGATATTTGAAAAATGACTAAGTTCCTATGTCTGGAAAAATGAGATAGAATTCCTCTAATAATTTCATTTCAAGCAGGTGCACAACTTCAACATATGTGCAATCTTCCTGTGAAGTTAAGTACCCATTTTTCCCGCCCAACATTACTATACTATAGGCCAGTTTTGATCTTTGTCCAACCCGGCCAATAAAACAAATGAAAAAAAGATCAACTTAAGTTTTTGGTTGTAAAAAACAATTTTGGCTCTTTACAGCAACACTCTCATGTTGATGGGGAAAGATTAAAGTTAAAAACATTGTATTCACAGCTTCTATCTAATAATATGATGAGGGTCTGACACAAAATAAAGTGATAATTTGACAAAACAAATAATCATATATACTTCTATAAAGCCCCTTCCACAAAAAATTAAATAAATAGTTATTTTTTTCTGCCTATCAAACAATTTCTAGTTTCCTCAAGAGCAAATCCACATATATATAAAGGTGAAACAAATTTGAACTGTTGCATTTAGCAAATTTATTTTTATTAAGCACAACTTATTGAGTGCAACAAGAGCCCACAGCAGCTAATTGTTCATTAATCAAAGTGCTGGATAGCACCTATGGAAAGTTTGCAACGGTAGATGTGTAATATTTCAAAAAGGTTGTATATGTGTAGATTGGGTGTTTAACTTTTTTTCTGACTTTAAAAAAAATTACTTAATACAAGAAATAATTGTAACATGATGCTGTTACGAAGTATCCCAAACAAAGCTCCCATAATAAGTCATTCCAAGGAAGGGGGTGGGAGTGACCCTAGGGGATTTGCCTTTTTTTTCATTTGATTTGTTTTATTGTCCCGTACAAGAATATATATGGTTTCGGTGTGGGGATCTTGACGGTTTAAAAATTCTCAAAACAGGATGGGGTGGGGGTGACACCCAGGACTCCCCCTATATTTCATTTGACTTGTTTTTTTTCCATACAAGAATATATATGGTTTAGGGGTTGGGATCTCGACCGTTTACAAGTTTTCAAAAAGAAGAGGGGTGGGCTGACCCCTGTGGACTTCCTCTATATTTCATATGATTTTTTTTATTGTCCCATACAAGAATATATATGGTTTATGGGTGGTGATCTCGACCGTTTACAAGTTCTTAAACAGGAAGGGGGTAGGAGTGACCCCAGGGGACTCGCCTTTTATTTCATTTGATTTGTTTCATTGTCCCGTACAAGAATATATATGGTTTCGGGGTGGGGATCTTGACCGTTTAAAAGTTCTCAAAACAGGATGGGGTGGGAGTGACACCCAAGGACTCCCCCTATATTTCATTTCACTGGTTATGTTTTCCCATACAAGAATATATATGGTTTAGGGGTGGTTATCTCGACCGTTTACAAGTTTTCAAAAAGAAGGGTGGTGGGGATCTCAACTGTTTACAAGTTTTCAAAAAGAAGGTGGTGGGGTGACCCCTGTGAAGTTCCTCTATATTTCATTTGATTTGTTTTATTGTCCCATACAAGAATATATATGGTTTATGGGTGGTGATCTCGACCGTTTACAAGTTTTAAACAGGAAGGGGGTGGGAGTGACACCAGGGGACTCGCCTTTTATTTCATTTGATTTGTTTTATTATCCTGTACAAGAATATATATGGTTTCGGGGTGGGGATCTTGACCGTTTACAAGTTCTCAAAACAGGATGGGGTGGGGGTGACACCCAGGGACTCCCCCTATATTTCATTTGGCTGGTTTTGTTTTCCCATACAAGAATATATATGGTTTAGGGGTGGGGATCTCGACCGTTTACAAGTTTTCAAAAAGAAGGGGGGTGGGGATCTCGACCGTTCACAAGTTTTCAAAAAGAAGAGGGGTGGGGTGACCCCTGTGGACTTCCTCTATATTTCATTTGATTTGTTTTATTGTCCCATAAAAGAATATATATGGTTTATGGGTGGGGATCTCAACCGTTTACAAGTTCTTAAACAGGAAGGGGGTGGGAGTGACCCTAGGGGACTCGCCTTTTATTTCATTTGATTTGTTTCATTGTCCCGTACAAGAATATATATGGTTTCGGGTTGGGGATCTTGACTGTTTACAAGTTCTCATAACAAGATGGGGTGGGGGTGACACCCAGGGACTTGTTTTATTGTCCCATACACAAATATATATGGTTTAGGGATGGGGCTGTTCTCAAATAGGAGGGGGTGGGGCTGATCCAGAGGGACTCCCGTTATATTTGATTTGTTTTATGATCCTGTGATCATTACTGAAAACCACGTGTGTCTATCACTATAAGTTATAGTCATTTGAAAATTTTAAAAAAATAAATCCCATAGGGTTCTATAGTAAATCCCTCCGTTCTGTTGGCCCCTCAAAATACCCCTAAATAGACCTCAAGAAGAAAAATGATAAGAACTGAGCAAAACAATAAGTCTCCATACTTTGTTTGGGAGACTTGATAGCAAGTAGTATAATTACGAATTTTGTTATAGTCCGATTTTCTGATTCCGATTATGTAATAGGCCGAGTCCATTATAGTCCGAGTTTGTTGTGGGCCGAGATGAGATACCGGGATACTTTTGATTCACTCGGGCTTTTACGTCTTTAATAAACATTGTAAAAATCGTAGTAAGCGTCGAAAAATGTTCATTCATGAAATATTTTAAACACGGTATTTATTTTCTCTTCAACCGGAGGACGGGAGGAAACCCCTGAAACCGGGATTATAATACTCCCGTTGATATGGATCTCACGCATGTCTGGGGAATACCGCATAACGTAGAAACTGCTGTCTCGTGTAGATGTGTATTGATTTTAGTTTCTGCGCAGCGCAGATCCGCGAAGTAGTGTTTGTGATAGCCATTTTCAAAATGAAGTTGAATTATTTGAATTATCGATGAAATTTCAATACATTTTAATTCAAACTGTAAGCTAATCAAAATAGAAGTAACTCAAAATTTCAAAAGCATCTTCCTAGAATTAGTTGTCAAAAACCAGTACTACATTATCTAGGAGTAGAACACACATCCTAAAGTAAGATAGTCTGTCACTTCCGGTTTGAGGCCGATGCCTAAGGAAAGTTTTTGCTATTGCAAACTTTCCAAAAATGAACCTGTTATACAAAATTTCCGTTGATGTTTACTTGTAAGTTGAGATACTATAAAATCCGCTTCAACAAGAATTCAGGTGTTGTATTACTACCACTCATAATTCTAAGCACCAGAAAACATGAACATGGTAATTGACAAATCTGATCCGAAAAGTGCACACACGTTACAACTCATCATCACAATTGAACTGCTGACCAAATATTAAGTTATTCTGCTAAGTAGCTTTTGAGAAAAATTTTAAGTTCATTCAACAAATTGAAAAATTCAAACAATCAGCAAACAGAAAATGTGACAAAAAAATGTGTTGAATAAATTAAAGGGTGAATGGACATACAAGGTGATTGCTATATATCTCACTTTTAGACTGGGGATATAATTTTAAATAAATGTAATCATGATGTCATGGTTTTCATCATTTTTGGTTAATAAAATATATAAACTTTATTTTCGAATGGTTTTTGGATCCACAAATATAGATAACATGCATACCTGCTAACTGTCACTAATTGTGGGGGATTTCCCCCATGAAAGCTTCCAAATGGAAATTTTGAAAAAGCAATTTTGTACACAATTCAAAACAAAACAATCAATTTTAATATGGCTATAGGATTGTAAAAGTATGAAGAAGCAAATAAACATTATTAAAATACATTTGAAGGCCCCCTTAAAGGTTTTGTAGGACTATAAGAGCCATCTTGCACATTAAACCGCCATGGGCATTTTGAAATGTTGGCAGGTATGAACATGCAAATATCAAGCTCAATAAATTGTTACAGGTTCTTGTCTGTGCTTGATATTTCTTGCTCATATATTTATGTGACACCTATCTCCATGTTCATTGACAAAAAGACTCACCATGGATACCAGGCTTATAATTTTGTATGCCAGATGCATGTTTTGTCTACAAAAGACTCAAAAAAGTTAAAAGGTCAAATAAGGTACAAAGTTGAAGAACATAGGAGGCCCACAATTCTGACAAGTGATAATAAAGATAACAAACCAACAACATAAGAGTATTTTGGTTTTACTGACTTTACCCCTTTAGATATGATATTTACCATTATGATACCAATTTAATTGCACTGAATATGCATTTTGACAATTAATGACTCTTCAGTGATTTTCAAAATCTAATACAAAAGTTGAAGAGCTGGTAAATCCAAATTGCACCAAAAGTAAGCCAAAACAGGGCAATGAACCATCGGTATGTATGAGGAAGATACATTGCTAAATTTAAAATGATTCCTATATTTTATAACAGAAAATTTGTTTAAAAAAATATTGGTATTTTCATGCCTGTATCTAAGTCCTGGCTATTGGGCTGGTGGTAATATAAACATACTACAACCGTTTAAAAGCGATGAACATCTGAAAGCAGAACTTTTTTTAAACTTTTTTTCAGATAATAATATTAATATTAATAATGATAATAATACTATAATAATAATAATTCTTTATTCAAAAGGGTAACACTGTAAGCTATAAAACTAATCTTCCCTGAGTCTCTCATGATATACATTGAAACATAACAAAGAAAGAAATACAAAATAATCAAATAAACACACACATTAGAAAAATTCAGCTGTGCCAAGAGCGCATGGTACTCCTTTATTGTGCATATTGAAATTGTTTCAAAAATAAAATGTGATATTTAATTTAGAAGACATTTAATCGGAATCAATTAAAATGGCTCTGTAGAAAAACATGCATGAGGATACCCTAAGGCATATATGTATTGTGTCAATTATGACTGTTAAAAGTTCCATAACTCTGGAATGACAAACCAGAATTTTTCAAAATCAAAAGAGTTCATCAACCAATCCCAACAAGTGTTAAGTTTGTAGTAATTTTATCCAAGCATACTATAGCCAGTGCAAGACAATTTAAAAAATGTCTTTTATCTGACAGTCAAAGTTCCATAACTCTGGAATGGCGTGATATGACAGTTTATAATATTACATTATAGTATTAGTATAAAAATCACATGTATAAGAAGTAAATAGTTCAATTGGCTTTAGATTTCAATGCAACTTTTCTGCTTAATAAATGTTTTTGTCATTTGGTTTTCAGAAACTTCTCTACTATGCTGAAAAAGGAGTAACTTGTACATGTCAAAGAGAAAATCTTGATATCCAAAGTAAGGGTTGTCACACATATCTTTATTTACATATATGATATAATATCATAAAATTAATTAAATATAACATGATTTTGAAGCTTTTACATTATTCTTTAAAGTTTACACAATTTCAGACAAAGAAATGACATATTGTTTATTAAAATATCAATAACATGGAAAAACAAAGTTTATTTCAAAATCAAAAAGTGTTCAAAGTACATCTACAAAATATTAGAACTATACAAATTTAATGATACAAATTCGGTTTACACTGTATATGTAGTTGAATTATACAAATGATGTTGCTGTGCAATAAATTCTTTAACTGATCTTCAAGTGTGAATTATTATGGTTAAAGTTTGATCTATTCATTTTATTTAAAGGAGTAGGTCCGGTAAGGGCTGATTTTTGCCTCAAATTTCAGATTCATGTGATGAAAGATTTTGGACACTTTTTAAACACTTAATTGTCTACTTCAGTCGATTAAATTAGTTTATGCGAAAGATTTGAACTGAATTAGTCATTAAAGGCGCTCAAATTCAAGCTTAAATATGAAAAATCTATCAAATATGCCATAATATGTCACTTTTAAGATGGTTTTTGTCAAAAATTAAAGTGGCCGCATCCGTGTTCACTCTCAACCGTTATATATGTTATGTATTATCATCAAATACAACTTACATTTAAATATTAAGAATGAACACAAATGCGGCCACTTCCATTTAAGACGGAAACCGTCTAAGATTTGACTCAAATGCTAAAATTGTGAAGATTTCAGTAATTTATCATGACTTAATGATGCCAGTACCTGATATATGTGCATTGTATAGTCAAAAATAGCCCATATTTATGTAGCAGAAGTATTCTTCTTTCCAATTAATAGATCTAAGTTTACATTTTAAAAATTTTGTAAAACTGCTATATTTTGGGGCCATAAAGGGGTCTTATTGGACCTACTCCTTTGTTTTTAAATTACAAATATTTCAAAAAACCATATCTATATCCTAGCTAATTTATGAATTTCCCTTCCTACTATATTATTTAAAACATTTTCATTAATTTCGTGTATATAGGACAAGAAAGAAAATCCTACAAACTAGGACAAGATATCTTCTATCAAATTCATCAATTTACTACATTATCTACCAGTACAAGCCATCCATTAAACAAAGCTGTGATAATAGATGATAAACATGTGGCCTATATACAATTTGCAAATTATTCAGTTGAGATTTATAATACAGATGGTTCAAATGTTGGTAAAATACCACTACAGAGTTGGCCGTGGGATATTACTGTTGTCAACAACTCTACAGTAGCTGTTACACAGCCTATCTGTCACAGGGTAGACATATGGGACATACACAATACACAGAAAGTGAAATCAATAAAAATATCTCTACCATGCTTTGGCATCACAACTATAAACAACAAGTTAGTAGTAGGCTGTAAAAGAAGATTGTTGATCATAGATCCTCAGACAGAGAAAGTGGAGAAGACCATTGTTACTGAAGGTAACTCTCTTTTCAGACTGTGTGGTTCTGGTGATGGTATATTTTACGGAAATGTTAGTAGTTATTACCTGTACCATTACAGTCACTCTAATAACAAGATTTCCAAAGTAAAGTTACCATCAAAGCCCTGTGATATGACCATTCTACAAGATGGCAGTGTGTATGTGATATGTGGGGATAGATCAGTACTACATGTGTCATCTGATGGAGAGAAATATAAAGAAGTTACTACAAAGGGATTGAGAACACAAGAAGGGTTTCCTGGAATAAATTATAATCTGGTACAAAAGAAACTGATCATTCTAGGTGGGAACTCATTAATAACAGTGTTTAACGAATGCTGATTTATTCTAGGATTAAAAAATTGAGTAACAATATTTCCTAAATTTTCATCCCAATGAACTAGTTACTGCAAGTTTAGGGTGAATGTGAGAGGTCTTGTGAGAGGATAACTAACTATATACTATTCATCCTTTATCTTAACTCTGTTAACTGAATTTGAATACCAGTAAGAAAGTTTTAAGAATGATGACAAAGTCATTCAGTAAACATGTAAACATAAATTTGGTTTTCTCGTTTACTAGGTTCCTCATTGCAGCACCAGTATTAGCCCTTTTTAAATCACTATTTGTTCTAGACAATATTAAGTCTGTACAATATCATAGTATATTACATATACAGGACTTCACAGTTAGTAGAACAAGAACAAAGAAAGTATATCTAATTAAAATCATTAAGGTAGATGTGTTTTATTATGGTATTGCAAGAATTGAAAGTACAATAGTACGAGTCAAACATAATTTATAATTTTTTAGGAATTTGACAGATTTCAGAATGTTGATATGTTTATGCTAAATACATGTTTTCTTTTATGTTTTCAAGATTGCTGGATTTTTATCCTCAAATCTATTGTTTTTACAAAATATTGAAGCTTACCTGATTTCCAGATAGATGTAACTGCTGTAGAGACCCTTGAGTCTACATACAGTATTTCTTGCAAAATGCTTTAATATGGCCATCTTTCAATTTTCATATAAATTTTCTTTAGTTGTAGACAATATCAAGGTTGAATATCAGCAATTAGGTAATACAAGGTTCTAATGGCACAAAACAAGACAAAATCAGTAAGGTACTATATTTAAATCACTACAAAAATGCAATTATCCAGGTATAACTGACCTTATCCATCAGAGTTATTATCTGTAGTATCAGTTGATCCTGACGTAAATCATCACCATGTTTAAACCTCGTTACTTATTCACCCCCCCCCCCCCTGTACTTGTTTTAAAAGTCAGTCTACATGGCATCAGCACACTCTTTAAAACATTGTTTATACTGTGGAATCATTTATTTTCGAGTGTATCAATTTTAGTGGATTGAGGAAAAGTTGCATTTTCGTGCATATTTGATTTCATGATTTTGACAAATTCTGCATACCAGCATATATAAAACTTTTAATTCGCTGAAAATTTAAATTGTGGTTCACCTATTCCAACGAATTCAGAGAATAATAATGAATCCACATTAGTTAGACAAGTAATTATATATATCTCCTGATCTCAGTAACACATTAAATTTTGTACTTGGATCATATTGAAAGCTTTTCAGCATTGTTCAACATAACAATTGAAGCTAAAGGAATGATAGTATGTGGGGAAAAAGTAAATGAGACAGCAACAAAACAAAACAAAAGTTGACCAAAAAAAGGTGTTTAGATGTTACCATATGTATACTTCGAAAATGGACCAGTGCTTACATCTTAGAGTAAGCTAAAAATTCCTTCCGTGGAAAAATCATGTGTTAATGAAAAGACTCATCAGTGACGCTCACATCAAAAATATTAAAAAGGACAAATAAAGTATGAAGTTGAAGAGCATTGGACACCCAGTATACCTTCACAACTCTGTTATACACATTTAGATTATACATATCCCTTATCTAGGAGCGCAAGTTTAAATACTTTCTCACCTTTAATAATGTAGCCTTTTCAACACAAATACCATTGACTTTAACATTCGGATCTAACGGTAGAGGTAAGTCGTCAAAACTGGCAAAGTTTATTTTCGTTACCTCTGGGTCTTGCAGTAAGGCTCGAAGTCTTTCAATCTAAAATGTTAGTACATGTATATATGTTGAAACTGTCAAAAACAGTTATGAAATAATTTCAGTTAACACTGTTCATTCAAATTAATAAATACTGCTGGTTCATTTAATTATATACATTTTTTTTAAATTCGTGAATTGTTTCTTCAGCTGAAAATTTGTGTAGAGTTAAAACTCACTGTGAGCAAATCACACAACATCATACCCCTCACAATACAAATATGTGTACAGCCATGCTTTGATATTTTTGATTCAGATCAAAAATATAATAATAATCTGCTCCATGAGAGAATGATACATCCGTTGTTTTTTAGCTCAGCTTTATGTTTTCAATGAATATATATGATCAACAAGAAATACTGTGAGCACTGCTCAAATAGAACCCTTCCAGCCCCCAAAAATAGACATGCACACACAGTGGTACCCATTGACACAAAACATGAACAATTTGGCACTATTAAGACTATATGAACTTTAACTTATTATGTGGCCTTGATTTCGGATAAAAAAAATCTCTAAAAAATGGACATTTTTCAACGATTTTTCAACAAATAAAGTTCCATAACTCCGCAATGTCATATAAGAAATTTATAAAAACTAAAGGGAACTTATTTCAATAGATATAAACAACTCACCAAAGTTTCATGAAAACTGCTCAAAGCAATTTATGAGTTATTGTCTGAAAACGGGAAGATCCCCCTTTTTTCATGAATAAAGTCCCTATACTCCAAAACGTAAAACCAGGAATTTTCTAAAAATTGAAAGGGAACTTATGTCAATAATTAACAATTCACTAAAGTTTAATGAAAATTGTTCAAAGCATTTTTGAGTATAATCAGAAAACAGGAAAATCCCTCATTTTTTATAAATAAAATCTCATAATAACTCAGAAATGTTTAATCTGAAATTCATAAAAATTGAAATGGAGCTTACGTCAATAGATATCACCAATTCACCAAAGTTTCATGAAAATTGGTGAAAGCGTTTTTGAGTTATTGTCCGACGTGTTGATGACGGACAGATGGACAGAAAGACAACAGTATACCATAATATGTCCCATAAACAGGTGTATAAAAATCAAAGTGAAAAATTTTATAAAGTTTCCCTGACTATCTTGTGTTTTTAATAAAAATTTTACACTGAGAAAAACAATTTACTTTTTCTTCCTGTTCCCACTTTCTCTTGTCACAGCCTTTACCATGCTGACTAATCTTTCTATAAACATTTGTTGTCTCGCCAGAGTAGCTCTCTTTAAACGACATTCCTGGCCACCCTGAAATATAAACATAACGTGAATTATTTCATGTTTCATCGTTGTATTACTGATCACTCTATAATATTTAGTATAAGCAATTTGAAACAACTTCTGACAAATGAGGTTCATACATGTATAACAAAAAGAAATTCCTTTTCATTTCTTGTTATTAAGTTCTTCTTTTAAAACTCAGATATCTGAGTATTTTTATATTTCTAAAGTGTGCTTTTCATTACACTAAAAATAACTAGAACTCCGGGTGAACTCATAAAATAATATCCTCTACCCTTCAAATTCAATTAACCCCTCTTTAACATGTTTAACTGCGATTTTTTTCTTTTGATGACACTTTCAGGAAGCATTCTGCAACTGTGTAAAGTTTCTAGTTGTGTAGGAGGAGTTGCATTTACAAGACACATTGACATACAGACAAACAGCCAGACAGACAAAAGGACAATTCAATGGAGGGATGGACGGATGGATGAACAGACAGGAAGATTCCTATATATCCTCCCATTATACTTTGTTTGCAGGATACATAATTAATATACAAGTTTTGTAAATTTTTCCATGTTTAAAGAGTTTCATATCCATATTGATTGGCTAACAGCAATTTCGCGCCATTCTGAAATTAACCGCCATTCAAAAAAAGAAATGAAATGTAACATTCATGATGACACGAGCTTCCACAATAAAGTGCACAGGTAAATAAAAGAAAAACTTGCTTCCGTGCTTCATACAAAATGTACTTCAGTCAACGCTTTTACACCCCAATAAATTTACAAAAAGAAGCATTCAATTATTAATAAGTAAGATATTCCTTTTTGATTAAAAAGGAGATTCTTCAAATGTCTTATTCATTATTATTGCATTAAATTACAGCTTTGAAATAGTCAATGCTTCAGCATCATGTTAACCTTCATTTATCCCATTGTGTTTAATGTCATTCAATTTGAACTTTCTTTTCATCATTCCAAAAATAATTTGGTGGAAGTGAGCATAACATTAATAAGAAAGTATAGTTTTATGTCTGTAAAATATAATGATTCTAAAAGGTTTCATAACAAGTGAGAATGGATTTTTATACGATCCATATAATGGCATGGTGATGTCATCGTCTACGTTCCATACCACAAAAGGAAGGTTGGGATAGATTTTGGGGGTTTAATTTGTCCAAACTGTTTAGGAATAAGGGCTAAAAAGAGGCCAAAAACAATAATGTCTCAGGACAATGACTTGTGTATAAGTGTATGGATCTCATTGAAATTGTACCACAAGGTTTCATATCTCAAAAGGAAGGTTTGGATTGATTTTGGGGGTTATTGCCAAACCATTAAGGAATAAGGGGCCAATAAATCAGGATTTTCTGGTTTCCGAACAATACCAGGGAAGTTTATGGATCTCTATGAAATTGTACCACAAGGTTCCATACCAAAAAAGAAAGGTTTGGATTGATTTTGGGGGTAATGGCCCTAACCATTTAGGAATAAGGGGCCAAAAACAATACTTTTCTAATACTTTGAATAAATTGCTTATTTTCTTGACCAATTTCAATGGGGTTTAATTCAAAGTTTACAATTCTTGGGTTCTTTAATATGCTGAATCTAACAGTGTATATTGATTTTGGATTTTGAGCCGTGTTTTAAAATTAGTCCACATTTAGGTCCTTAGGGTCCAATATTAAACCTTTTTTTGATTTCAACAAAAATTGAATCCTTTGGGTTCTTTGATATGCTAAATAAAACCAAGTATTTAGATTTTTAATTTTAGGCCCCGTTTACAATTTGGTCCACATTAAGGTCCAAAGGGTCCAAAATTAAACTAAGTTTGATTTTAATAAAAATTGAATTGTTCGGGTTCTTTGATATGCTGAATCTAAACATGTATTTGGTCCACACTGAGGTGCAAAGAGCCCAATATCAAATTTGTTTGATTTCACCAAAAATTGAATTCTTAAGGGTTCTTTGATATGCTGAACCTAACCATGTATTTAGATTTTGGATATTGGACCATAATAGGTAAATGTTTCATTAGTATAAAAATAACTAGAACTCTCAAATTTCAAATTTTTCAGTTCTTAGACATTCATTCTGTGTCAGTAACCTATGCTGTGTCAAATATTTAATCACAATCCAAATTCAGAGCTGTATCGAGCTTGAATGTTGTGTCCCTACTGTTCAGGGTTGCAATTTCATATCACATTGCAAGATAGGTCAACCAAATTAACCAAATTAAGTGTGGTGCGAGAAATATCTCATCATGAGGGAAAAAGATTCAAGCCACAGCCGTAAGAGAATAGCATTTTGACAAAGCAACTTGAATCAAGTAGTGATGAATCAATAAAATATAATGACACATACCAATCACAAATTAGACACAAAGGTGCTAAAGTGCTAAAAAGGTTACTAAATCTGCTTCAAAAAGACTGTATAAAGAATAACTAGACAAACATTAGATTTAGGAAACAGAGATGTTAAAGTACAACTTTAAATGGTTGTGTCTGTGAGAAACATT